CGAGGTATGATCTCAGAAGGAATGCCCTTGTTTGATCAGACAGGCCAGTATTTTCCACGGAAAAGAGATCAGAACCTGTTAGCAAATGGGAAATTGGTTTAAGTGCTGAGAAAATGCCCATTTTTATTCTTAACTAGTGGTTTCTTTATCATCACCTCCACCTACAACCACTCCACTGATGTCCCCACCACCACCGCCACCACCACCAAGCCGAAGAGCAATCTTGCTCCTCTGTCCTGGTTCTTTCCCTTTGGAATAGTCTGAGTTTGATACCAGGATATAGCCATCCATTTGGGCCCAAAAGTTCCCAGAAGGCCAAATATGTGGGGAGAAACGAAATAGAGAAAAATTATTTCCTAATTAGACCTACAATCTCTAGATGTCTTAATAAAAATGGTGAGCAGTAAACAGCCACCTTCAAGCCGGAGAACCACACTTGGACTTGATGTTTTCCAAGAGCCAAGCGAAGTGTTCAAAGCTCTCCTTAACCTGGTCTCCCAGTCTGGGACGTGTAAATGTTTAACTACCCTTTGGCTTGCGGGAGAAAACAAGCAGAGCTGAACAGATTCTGAAATGGCGTAACTTCCACAGACCCCTCATTTCACCCTGAGGTATGAAGGGACACTGCCTGCCTCCTCAATCTGAGTGGTGCCCAGAATTTATGAACTTCTTCAGAGTATGACATGAATCTGGGGTCCAAGCCAGGCATTATAACATCGGGAAAAGGTGGACAATTTTCCTCTCTGCTGCTCATCCTATGCTGATTGTACTATTCAGAAGTGAAATACGATTTAATCCCGGGCGCCTGGATGGCTCAGTCGTTAAGCGTCCGCCTTCGGCTCAGGTCATGGTCCCAGGGTCCTGGGATGGAGCCCCGCATCAGGCTCTCTGCTCCGCGGGAAGCCTGCTTCTCCCTCTCCCACTCCCCCTGCTTGTTTCCTCTTTCGCTGTGTCTCTCTGTCAAATAAATAAATAAAACCTTTAAAGAAAGAAAAAGAAAAGAAAAAAAGAAATACGATTTAATCCCTTCTGTGCTAAGGGTGCTACAAAATGTTGGGTGCAATGTAGTCATTAATACTTAAGTAAAAGGGAGAGAAAGACAGAAAGAGGAAGGAGGGAAGGAAGGGAGGGAAGTGGGAGGGAGGGAGGGAAGGAGGGAAGGAGGGAAGGAAGGAAGGAAGGAAGGAAGGAAGGAAGGAAGGAAGGAAGGAAGGAGGGAGGGAGGGAAGGAAGGACAGAGGGAAGGAAGGAAGGACAGAGGGAAGGAAGGAAGGAAAAAATGTAGCAAATGACAAAACTGATCATTGCCACCAAAAGAAGATGGATAGGCATGGAAAAATCCTTGCCCGTATGCCAAATGGAATGCAGCTAACTTAGATCATTTCTATATATAATCAATGTGGAATGTGCTTTTACAATTATGCGGTGTTGACAGCAGTGCATCATGGGAAAAAGGATAGTTCCAGTCGCATGCTTCTGGATTTCTTTATCTTAGGGTCATCAGAGCAGGGCCAGGTTGCCACAAAGTGCTCAGTGATCCATGGGAAATGAATCATGTCTTCATTCCAGGGCTTAATATATGCATTACATCACTATTAGAAGCAAGGGACTCTGTGGTTGATGGCTCCAGCATGGATTAAGGTCAAAAGTGGACCCGGAGACCAAATTCCCTAGAGAGGGCTCGCCACACAACTCCACGTGTCCTTTGCTTCTGAGTTTTCTTCTCCTAGCAACAACTGCTAAACACCAGCTTCCCAGGCTGGTATTATGTCTATGCAAGGTGTATTCTTCCTGCAGCAAAGAATTGGAGAAATACAAGGGAGAATCTGTTATTACAGGTTAAATTGTCTTACACCCAACTTGTGGTGAGGGTCCAGTTTCTTTTTATTATACTCCCAATTTTGTTGTAATGACTATTGCTTGAAATAAATGGGCAATTGATAGGGCCTTAAAGATAACAGGGATGCTTAAGTGATTTTTATAGTAGCAGTATTTGTTGTAACAGAATCTGACCTGTATTCTGGTTATTAGTTTTATTCATCACATTAGAAGCTTGGCACTTCCATTGTTCATGACATTATATGCAAAGCACTGTAGCATGAAAGTCACTTATAAAGCTATGAAAAAACCTCCCTAAATACAAGAGCCTCAAGGAACAGTAAAACCTCAGGTAGGGGGATGTTTTGTTTTATTTTGTTTAGCTACATGCTCTGGATGGTCAGAGGTTGATTGCTTTTCACCCCTAAAGTGTATTTGTTTTGTGTTGTTTTCTACCATTTGTGATAGAAACACTTCTAAAAGGTTGATATGCACATTCTTGCCTTCTTCTGAGCATCATTTCCTTTCTTTAGGCATGAAGCTCAGGGTCGTCATTTGGAATATGGTTACACTGTCCTATAATACAACAGTCCCCTGTAGGGGTTGAGCTGGATGTGGAGCTGTTTTGGGCACTATCCACTCCCCTAGACAGTGCTTTTTAAGCTCTTTGGTATACATGACATTTTTTTGTCCCCGCTATTGTTCTTTTTCCTTCTTGACCTTAATTTCCTTTAGAAGTCTGTTCCTCACCCTTGCGTTTCATCTGCTCTAGGCTTGGAAACCACCTAACATGTAGAATTATGTGTGATGTAGGAATGGTTTCTGAGTAATGGCTCGATGGGGAGATGTATGGACTGTCTCTCACGTATGTGCTTCATGGTATTTATTTCAACTGGGAAGAGCCTGGTATGCTCACTCTTGAGTGGGTCTAGCAGAGGTGCTAGATTTTTCCAGTTCCGACTCAATTACTCATTGTCAAAGCACTTGTTGGTTTCCTGTTATGGACATAAGGCGAGGTGAAGCTCACAGGCGGCTGAGCCACAGGTAAATGAGCTGCTCCTGAGTCCCTGAGCTGGTGTGAGGCTTGTGAGGCACATGGTCCGCTGTGGGCCGTAGCCATGATGGCTCACTCAGTAAGCGGACTACACCGTAGACAAGCTCCTTCTGCAGTCCCTTTCCAAGAATATGAAGCTGGCCCCACGTCAGCCTGGGGGAGACGTCTTCAAGATGTTTCATTAAATCAGACTCAATGTCAGAGTTGGCTGACTTACAGGATTTTAAGACTATGGCAGAAGAGGCCCTGACTTTGCCTCTCCTGGTGATTTCATTATTTATGGCCTTGAAATAAAGGAGACACAGAAAATCTAATAGTTCCCTTCCTCCAGAAGTGCAGTTTCAGGTCCGAAGAGGATTTCCTTGCCATCCTTAGCCCCCTTCCCTCACCGTACACTGTACTTTGCAGGTGGTACAAAGCAAGGCCTAACACGAAGGGTGAAGTCCTCTGCCCCAAAGCCACGCTGTGAGTGTTTATTCACCAATCCAAGGTGGACCCCATGCCGCTCAGAAGGAGAGATTGAGAGCAAGGGTTGCAAGGCCTGTAAAGAGCCAGATTTAAATCCTGGCTTCCCATATATTAGGATGTGACTTTGGGCAGAGTATTTAACTCTCTAAATCTGATTCCTGTGCAATAAAATAGGAGATGGTAATACCAGTGCTCTGAGAATTCAGTAAGACAATGAAAAGCAACTAGGCCAGCGCCTGGCCCAAAGAAAGAGCTCCCTAAGTGGTAGCTAGAGTTATTAACAAAAGGATTTAACCCTGGAGATTGTAGTATTTAACAAGTACAGACACATACCCACGGTGGCCAGTTACGGACTTAGAGCAGTCTTTTTGTTGTTTGTTTTTTCCTGTGACATTTTCTCCTCTGACTGTGCTGGGTGTCGGAGCCTCTGATGCCTCGTCAAGTCCAGGAGATACTCCAGACAAGCTGCAATTCCACCCTTTTGGGAGTGTAAAGGAAATGGGGCCACCTGTAAGTTGGACCAGGCGAAGATCAATGAAACAAAATAGAGAGTTGCAGCTCTCAGAGGGGAAGACAATAAAATGAGAGAGGCCTGGGGCAATGGGATGTGGTGTTGAGATACTGGCACCAGGCAGTAGGGAAGAAAACCTCCACACACATTGTGGTTTGTTAAAACGCTGAGACTCCCCAGTGCCCCAGGGCTTGGCAATCCCACCCCACCAGGCAGAAGTGACCTTGGCCACTGGGGAGGGAGGAGGGAGGACCTAATGATCGCTCCAGGAGACAGAAAGTCTGCTGTCCCGGCTCTATCCGTGTGGCTCGTTGGCTGACCTTCAGCGATGGACTCAGCTCATCTTGGACAATGTCTCTGAAGTTCACACAGTACCCCCGGCTAACTAACGAGGTCTGATGGAGACGGATTGGTTCAAAGCAAATTTAGAGCAGGGTTCCTGAACCATAGCTCCTCCAGACACACCTGCTGGGTGGGGGCGGGGGAGGGGCAGGGCGGGCTTTTAAGCAGTGAATTTCCAGGCCTTCAGGCAGGACTTGGCGCCTTCTGGCTCACACAGCATCATCGACCATGTTGGGTGTTTGCATTTTGCCTCTGTGTATAGGACTGTTGGTTTCAGTGCAGCCTCTGGTCCTCGTATGACAAACTGGACCAGAACTACTTCATTGACAGCTTGATTCTACCTCTGTATCAATTATAACAAATGGGTAACTCTAACTAACGTTCCACCAAGATGATTTTGCTGGCCTACCTGTAATTTGCTCTACAAAGAGTTTTTATTTCTAGAAAATATGATAAAAATTAAAACCAGGTTAACCCAAATGGTAAAGCTTTAATGTTATTTGAAAACATCATTCAGGATCAAGTATTCTTCAGGTTATAATCTAACTTTGTTCAGAAACTTTAACCTAGGCACAGACTGTTTTACTTTGAGGCGAAAACATATTTCTAAATAACGACATTACATGTGCTCGCGTGTCCCTTCCCAGAGATCTCCTAAGTCGCTCCGGAGAAGTCAGGAGTAAATGAGTATCCTGTATTAATAACCAAACACCATCATCTCCAGCTTTACCACAGTTAAGAGTGGAGATCATCATGAATATTTACACCTAGCAGGGTCCTTTGTGCACAACTCTCAGAGACAAATGGTATTTCCAGTAATAGTTTATTGATTTCCAAATGCACAGGGGCACTGAGTCCAAACATCCTGGGATAGCGGTAAATCTCTCTTACAAAATAATTTACAGTATGAAAATGATATACTGAAACATTAACTCAAATGTGTAATTCCCTTGAAAGATCGCGTGTCCCCTTGTTTAATGTGAAGGATGAAAGAGGAAGGTGACTAAGGAGGGAATGTGACTGTGCACGGGAAAACAGGCAGAGGACAAAGGGCTCGTCGGTTGCCCCCCCACCCCCATGCAGTGTGGCCTGTCACTGTACAAAGACTGGTCAGGTTTGACTCCTGTTAATATAAATCTACTGTCCCCTCAAGGTCCTATCAAGCCCAGGGCTCTGTGGCAACTTTTGCACCAGTATACCCACAAGTGTCTTAATTCGTCTTCCTTTTCCTGCTCTGGCACTTGCTCTGCTGTTTCTGGTGTGTTCTCAGTTTCGAATGCTACTCTTCTACCAGGCAGATCCCCTGGGCCTCTGGGTCTTGGAATGGGCTGGGGTGGGGGCTTTAGAACACCGCTGGGTAGAGGCAATGGTAATGAGATCTCAACTCTCCCCTATGGGCCTTCTTTCTCTCCTAAGGCTGGGCCAAGTTCATCCAAAATGAGATTTGTGTTTTAAATAGAAACTTCCAGATGTGCTAGGCACACAGTAAACATGCAACCAATTTTCTTATTACAAAGCATGTACTGAGCAGCCATTATGTTGAGTATGGAATTTCAGGTATTAGAAAGGGAATATTTTCTAGGTGGGGGAGAGGGCTTCCTATGCCCTGCCACAACCACAAGTCATAAACTCAGCAGCTGTGCCCTCAGGCCTGCCCGGAGTGGACAGATCCCCGGGTCACCCAAACCGTTAGACATCTTGGAGCAGCCTGGGAAGTCCCCTCAGGGGCGCCATGTTGGCTCAGCGCTTTAGGAGCTGACAACCGTCGCCAAGGAGCTGTTCTTCTTGTAAGCAAGCACCGAAGCTCCGGCTATCTGGTGACGCTTGTGATCAGGGCTGGCAGAAACCTCTGCAGGGGTATGCAAGGTAATGAGGGGCTGTTCTGGATTCCCCGTAGTTCTTAAACTGCGTGTGCGTGCATATGTTTACGTGTGTGTATATACAGATGCACGCATATCGTGTATGTGTGTGCATATACACACCAGCGTCAGCAGGAAAGTCTAGATTCACTGGACTCTGAGTTAACACAGCCTCACAGAGCACAGCAGCGGCTGGGCTCAAATATGAAGATTTCCTTTTCTGCAGGACTGCAGCACCAGACATTTTCAGATAAACTTAAGAGCAGAACACCCTCCACTTTTACTATTTCTTAGAACTTCTATACTCTTGAAGGCCTAGAGACACTTTATTTATGGGGGATGGCACCAAAAAGGAAAGGTCTCCCCAACTCCTGGGGGCAGGCTCAAGTTAGCAATGTGCACTTCACAGACCTGCTAAGGTGGAAGAGTGAGGCCACCTTGATGCCATTTCTGAGCCCAAACGGTAGCCATGAAACGTAACTTTGAAAAAGAATCCATAAAGTGGGATAGTCAGACTGCAGTGGGGGAACCGGAAGCCTTTTCCTCCCTCTGTACTGTAGATGTACCACGGACCACCACAAAGTTAGGAAGAGCTCCAGTATTTCCTAGCTGTGTAACTCAAGGCAAGGGGCTCTATTACTCCACATCCGTTCTATCATCTGACAAATGGGGCCCAGTACAGGGCCTGGCTCACAGCTGGTCCTCAATACAGGTCATTTCCCCTCCTGGGCTGTCAGAGCTGAGACTCCTAAGAGAACCTCTTGGAATTGCCCTGGATTTCAGGACATCGAATCAAAAGACCAACCCACTCTCAGCCTCCAGAGAACCCAAATCTGGAAGGTAGCCAGGGACTGCTGTGAGGACCCAATTCATTCTGGAGACATTCATTACCTGCTGCCCTTGATGACGTCTCCCTGGGGGTTTCTGCAAACCTAGAGCCTGCAGCCAGTCGGCACACACTGCTGAGCACTCTAACTTACTCACCTGGCAGGAGCTTAAGGCCGAGCCGCATCCTCCAGCTCTGGGGGAAGCTGGCCCCACTGCAGGAAGCACCCTAGTTCTTACACTGAGAAATGCTGTTGGCAGGGACTCCGGAGCCTGGGCAGAAGCTGCTGCTCTGTTTAATGCTTCCCTGGTTAAAGTTTTATCAGGTGCTGAAGACCGCGGGAGCCCATAAAGCAAATCTGAAATCTTAAGTAAAAGCAAAAGGGCTTTCCTTGAGGATTACAGAGATATGATAATATAATGATAATATATTGAGACAAGCTGGCATGTATTTTTATATTTCCGTTCATATCCGCTGCATAAATGCTTGGGTTTCCCAAATACTGATTTTAACTAATAACATACAATCAGGTAGGGAGGAGCCAATGGTCTATCCATTGTGAAGATAAGGCTGTTATTTAGAGATGAAACAATAATTATTGGGGAAAGACAAACACAAGCATCCAGAACCTAAAATCTTCTTCATCTTCTGGCTTTTAAACTCTTATAAGAGTGGCCACTTGTCCTTCTTTATGGGTAGTTCTGTGGGATACGGTTGCGGGTTGTAATTAGTGGTATGCCAAATTCTCCAGTCTTTGCAGGAGGACAGGTAAAGCACCGAAATTGTCTTAGCCATTTGTTGGCCACCAGTTTGAGAGAAAAATACTTTTTTTTTTTAACAGCCCAAAGTACTCTCAGTCCCAACATCCTAACATATTTAGTGAGCTAGGATAATCTTAACGCAGAAGCATATACGCCTGGTAGCTTCCTGGCCCCAAAGAAATAATTTTATAGCATGCGCAGGATTGAACAATGACATAAATAGGATTCTTACAGTAAGTACTGTTTCTGCCTCAAAACCATCCTGCACACACACACACACCAGCTGGCCCTAATGCTCTGTGCCAGGTACACAGGTCACAGGCAGGCAGGCTGGAAGAGGGACTTCTCCCAGTGCAGGCGCCTTTAGTTTTGCTTCAGAGGCGACTAGAGGTCTAGGCCCCGAGTCAGCTGCTTGGATACAGTTCCAATTGTACTTCTCGGAAGTGAACACCAAAATACCACTAAAGGCAGAGGAGAGGGACCACGTACCCCACTTGCAAATAAGCATTCCCTCTGAAGTGTCCCACTCTATCTTAACTGTGTGTATGAACACTCTCTTTCATAATGTAGCTGTTTTATCAAAAAAGAAGGTCATCCCCCGACTCCAAACCATTTCGGTAAAACTGATGTTTCAGAAAATGCAGGCTTTAAACTTGCAGGTTGGTATTCCCTGGTAATCACTGCTTACTTGGGAGGAGAAAACTTGGTTGTAAGGAAATGTGACTTGGCAAGGGGGAAAGGTTGGAAGTCCAACTGTGGGATGTCTCTGCTCAGGGTACTTGAGAGGGAAGAACCTGGGTATGGGGGCGGGGCTGAAGGCCTGGGGCGGGGTGCCATGCAAAGAGGGGTTCCAGCTGGAGGGAAAGGAGGGTGTACCTGCCAGGAGACAGGGCTTGATTCAGCACACCAGAGTGACGAGAACTCTCTCTACACTGCCTTTAAGCCAAATGAGGCCAAGGGGGCTGGAGCAGGAGTGACAAAAACCTACACTGAAAATCCCCACTTGGTAATACACATCCCGGCCTTCATGTTGCGACAAGACCCAGAAAACCGGCAGAAAGCACCCAAATAATTCAGGTTCCATCAGATCCTTTAGTGACTATTTTGGAAACTCAGGCAATTTGAGTTCAGAAATACTGATTTCAACTTTTAATCAGATCTCTTTGGTCCTTTTTTTTTTTTTTTTAAAGTCATTTCCTTTCTACCTCTTCAATCATTTTTTTCATTTCCACAGCACTGAATTATGGATTTGAAGTGCTGGATAACCTCATGTACTAAAAATATCCCTGTATTTCGAACTTTTAACTCTTTCTCCAACCCCATCTTCACGCCACCCATCTTACTTCGTGGAGCCACATTTTCACAAATGTATAATTGGACTTTTAGACACTATCTACAAAGCCCTACCGTGCCCCCCACTATTTCATGCTGCAATTTAAATAAAGTGGGGTTTTATTAGCAGGTAGGGAAAAAATTCTGACTGCCCTTCAGGATTATTCCAGATCCTTCCAGATAAAGTAATGCTATCTGGGTATACAATATCACGGGGGCTGGCTTTCCTGAGTAAGTTCAAAGCAGCCATTGAGGGACTACCTGAAGGACGCTTCTTAATTAACTGCTCCTGGTTGATCATAGGGGCACTTTTTCTTGAGCTACCACAACAAGAGAATGAAAAGCAGTCAGTAACAATAAAATTGGTCATCCCTTGGAGAGATATGTGCCTGCTGTGGATCTGGGGATGTGTCCGGTAGGAGTACGTTTGTTGCTGGGCAGCTTTCACAGAACTCAGAAGCCACTACATACACGCCGTCACATACACACAGGGGGAAGGGATGAGTCTCCACGGGGGATGGCAAGCCTTCATGTGTCCTCTTCTTCACTGGCACCGCTGCAGAGGAAAGGAGAACGAGGTGAGTTAAGACATCAAAGAAGGGAGCAGCCCAGTCTACTGGCTGAAGACACAGGCTCTGTTCTCAGACCTACCCGGACCCCGGTCCTAACACTACCTCTGTTGGGCCGTGGGCCATGGGCAAGTTAATTAGCTGCTCTAAGTTCTGGTTTCTTTATTTGACTCCAGGGATAATTTTGATAATAAGATATACTTCCTTGGGTCACTGGAGAATTAAATCAGAGGATACATGTAAAATGTACAATGCCTGGGGGCGCCTGGGTGGCTCAGTTGGTTAAGCGACTGCCTTCGGCTCAGGTCATGATCCTGGAGTCCCGGGATCAAGTCCCGCATCGGGCTCCCTGCTCGGCGGGGAGTCTGCTCCTCCCTCTGACCCTCCCCTGTCTCATGCTCTCTATCTCATTCTCTCTCTCAAATAAATAAATAAAATCTTTAAAAAAAAAAAAGTACAATGCCTGGTACATGGTAAGTGAGTATCTGTAAAGGCACAGGTGAGAGTCATAATATTTTTTAAGCTTACTTGACAAAATAGAGCTGGTAAAAATCAGGAGTTTGACTTCCGCTTAGCCTGAAACCCTCTATTGTTAGGAGAGAAAAACGGGAGAAGCTACCACTTGGCACTCCCAACAGAGCTTCTCACTTGGAATCAAGCCAAGGTTTCAATTCCTGCCCAGGACAGCCACAGGATTCGAATGTCGCCTCTTTAGAGAAAGTATTCTACCTAAGTAGGATTCCCTCGTTATTCTCCATTTTATTTCATTAATTGTCCTTATTACATCCTATACGTTGTCTGCTATTTACTCTCCCCTCTACCTCCAACTAGAGCGTAAAAAAGTAGCAACACTGTTTATCAGCACCAGCACTAGGATTAGCAGAGAAGTGTTAGTGTTACTAGTAGAGAAGTGTTCAATAAATTGTTGTTTTCAAAAAGGGAGTGAGAAATCAAAGCAAGAGGAAGGGAGGGAAGGAGGGAGCTGAAAGGAATAGTCAGTCATGATTGCCCTGGCCAGGGCGTCCAAAACGTCAGTGATATTTCAGTGGCCAAAACGTGAGCTATGAGTCCCAGGGGCATGGCCAGGCCCACGGGTGTCTAAGGTTAGAGCCTCCCTGGCTTGGTCCTGCTGATCCAGGGATTGGGGTGGAGGAAAAGGCAGGGCCAGACAGGGAAAGGGGCAGAAGCGAGCACACTGAGAAGGACGAAAGTAGCGAGCTTGCCCAGTTTCTCCTCCTCCACTTCTAGAGGCCACTATCCTTAAAAGAGTAAGAGCCAACTTGATCAAGTGCCTACTGTGTGCCGGGGACACTGAGCTGAGCGCTCCACTTTCTACTGTTCCTCACCACAATCCCAGGACGCAGGGACTGGTGTTGTTATCCCCACTTTGTAGATGAAGAAAGTAAAGCTGAGACAGAAAATCCTCAGTCACCAGTAACGTCTGTGTCCTTAAACCTCAAGGATGAGTTCTGGCTGGATAAAGTCTGAAGTAATCAAGTGGGGGTGTTTGGAAGGGAGGAAAACTCTCCTTCCTCTGGTAGAGACAGGAGCTGGAGAAGAGGGAAGGCCTGGGGTGCATCGGCTCCCAGCTACGACGGAGAAATTTTTTATCTCACAAGGGATTATCTGTCTATATAAAATCTGCTTTTTTGCATCCATTTGGGATAGACTTTAAGGGAAAATATCCTAGGCAATAGACTTGTAGTACTTCTGGTACGGGCGAAAGCATTTCAAGACACGGAGCCTGAAATGAACGGAAGGGTGCTCTAGGAGCCAAAAGAACCAACTCAGCAACCTTCATGATCCAAAGCTCTGCCCTACTTCCATTCCCTCTTCCTGCCTGGTGTCCAATCACAGGATGAAGGGTGCATGCTGGGAAGGGCTGGACAGTGGACTGTCATTAAAAAAGCAGTGTTTGGTGGCATCTGTCCCAAAGGGAACAAAGGGTCTTTTATGAAAGTGTCTCACCAGAATCAAGGCACAGTTGGAACTGGCGCCATATTCTCCCCTTTGGTATTATATCCAAAGCAAGCTCTATTGTTCTCTTGTCAATTTTCCTCCAAATATGGGAGGTCCAGCATGATGACTGCACCCTTTCCTTAAGCTGCGGTTCACTTTTCAGCATTCTTGAGATGCATAGTTTAAAGGGTTCATGAATCTACTTAAATTGTACACAAAATTTTGTCTGTGTGTTCCTTTGTTTGAGAAAGGCCATAATTTTCATCATATTCACAAAAAGGTCAACAACCCTTCCCCCCCAAACTGAGTATAATAAAATTGAGAATAAATTAAGTGTTTTCCTAGTTGCCAGGTTCTCTACTCTAAGACTTGTACAGTTGGCTTGGGGAAAAGATCAGAAGTCCTGACTGATAAAATCTTTTCTCATGACCCTCAAAGAGATCTGTTCTTGAGTCTGATAAAGTTCATCTCAGGGTTTAAAAGCATGAGATCTTGGGATTCTGGCGAATCACTGATTCTTTCGTTTGCTAAACATTTATTGACTGTCTACTATGATGCTAGGCACAACAATGAATGATGGACACAGTAGTTGCCCTCACAGACTTTACAGCCTAGTAGGGGAGGGGGGGAAGGGGAGGGGGAGAGAGAAGGGGGAGGGGGGAAGGGGAGGGAAGGAGAGAGGGAGGGAAAGAGAGAAATGGTGGGGGAGAGAATTATTTTCCCACAACTGGCATCTTCAAATACAGCATATTCATTTTCATAATGAACTAGCAAACTGCTTTTCACAATAATGAAGAAGAAAAAGGATCTTAAGTGAATGGATAACAGAACTTTGCTCACCCTGTGTGTGGTCTCTCCTGGAGGGTTACACAATATCATTAGTATGAGACAGCATCTCCCGAATGCTTCTTCACTTTGTATATAAGCTGGTCTGTGTTCATAAGATTTTATCTTAAATAGTCTATAAAAGTCTTTACTTTCTCCAAGGGAAGTAACACAGCCTTCTACCTTGGCCACTTACCATCCTCCCCTGACCCATCTACCAGCCACATTTAGATTTATAATTGAATCAGTACTCAGAGGTTACTGAAATTCTTTCTACTGTGTTGTCGTTGAGGTCACTGTTGCTGTTGTGAGAATGAACTAATGGTGTTAGAAAGACAGCCCATTCATGTTAACTATACTGGAATTAAAATTAAAAACTTCATTAAAAACAAAGAGAAAGAATGAAGGACAGACCACTCTGTAGTAGGTATTTACCGACGAGAGCGGCAGTATTATATAATGGCTCCGAGGTCACCAAGACTGAACTAGGTTCAAATCTCTGCTCTGGCACTAATGAGCTGTGGAACCTTGGGTGAGTTACCCAACCTCTCTGAGTCTCAGTTTCCTCATGGTAATTCTATCTATCTTATAGGTTTACTGTGAAAGTTCTATTTACTTCATGCAGTATAAATGATTAACAATGGGGACTCTCTTCTTCAACCCACCTTCCTTCTTATCCTAAATCAGCAGCTCCTCCTCCTGACTTCTCTTCAGTGTTCCTGGTCCTGGCATCTGAAACACTACCCTCTAGAGCAAATGTGTTCCTATCCCCAGATGCCCTTAGCTTTCTGGAGAGCAATAGTGCTCTTCTTTGCTTGCTTGGGGAGTGTTGTGTTTTATTTTTTTAATGACAACTCCAGACAAAATGAAACACAGGTACTGAAGAGAAAGAAAGGCTGAGTTCAATGGCTCTGATCCTTCCACCTGACAGGTCTCTGCCAAACCCTGGTGAGGACAAATATTGAGCAAAGCCTAGTTAACTGGCCTCCGTCATAGACAGATGGAGGGTGAGAGTGCTCGTATCTAAAAGCAGTGGTTTTAAGGCTGGGACACATGTATCTTTGTGGTACGTAATGACTTCCCAGGGGGTATCTGGGCATGTGTATTCTTAAGGAAATACACGTTCAGATCCTTAAACTTCCATACACACCCCTTCTTACAACTGACCTTTCCAAGAACATGCCTGGGATCTATACATTCTCTCAGCAGCCACTCCCATTTTCACAATCACCGTACTGCACTTCAGAAAAGAAATGCATACCTCTCCCCCGCCTGAATCTTACCAGGGGACAATTTGAAAATGCCTTCCTTCTAAGAGGAGTCCTATGAGAGCAGAGCAAGAAATATCTATTTTGCCCAGGCAATAAACTCTTGGCACGGTTGCGTGCTCCCGTCTGTCCACAGACCTTAAGAATTCACATTCAGAAGTCAGATGGTGGTCATGAGGTATGTACTAATAAGTTTATTTCAGTTGAAAAAATGAAATCAGACTTGGGTCTGACAGAAAGCAAGACTGATTTGGCTGGATGGTTTGACCATAAAAACCTTTGCCAATTAGATTATCTAGTGAATCTTGCCTGTACATTTAATAAGTAGTGCCAAAGCTTTGCCAAAAACTTATGTAAAGCTCAGACCATGTAATATGTCAGATATCACACCCTTTTCAACTATCTCCACTTGATTTGTCATTTCAGGAGTTAACTTTAAAATGGGCAAGGAGGCACGCAGTTTTTTCTAAATTTTAGGGGGTATAAGAACACAAAGTTTAGCTGAGGAACTGAGGGCTCCCAAATCCTGACTGGGAGAGTGGTGTGCCATTTACCACTTCCCTGGCCGGGGGCTGGGGTCGGGGCACACTGTGGGGCAGGGGGGAGCGCGGGATGGGACTAGGGAGCCCCAGCCAGCAGCCAGCCGACACACTGAGTCACACATGTGGCCCACAGCTGCCACACTGTCAGATGAGGAATCCTGCGAAACTGAGAAGCTGTTAGAGGTATGCCACGGCCCCCGTCACGGCCAGCCCCCAAACACCTGCTGACAAAGCGGCTGCGATGGAGGCGTGTTTCCTTGCCTGGCAATTTTCCAGCCAGTCCACACAGATAGGCAGCCCAGCCTTTCCACTTCTTCCCCAGAGATGGCAGCTTATGAGAGGACGTTAATAAATGAGGTGGAAGGCACTCTGACCTCGCAAGTTTAATAGTTT